TATGCCCATTATCTGAATCCGTTAATACATATATAACGTATTTCTTCCAGTCAATAAGCGTTACCTTGTATAATTTCGCTCATACAACTCATAAACACTCATGAACGCTTTTGAAAAAAATTGGCGCAGTTGATTAAAGTTGCCGAATAGGCATAAATAACTGCATATTGTGCAATACTGATCATCTATCACCAATTTTTGTGGTGGCAGCTGAAATAAAAGATCAACATCAAAGTAGATGATAGCGAATCTATTTGATATTCATCTAATGATGCTACAAAATGTTAGTACTTTGTGACCAAATATGATTTTCCTACTATTTAGCTGCGGGCATTCCATATAGAATCGATATTCTTTCCACTAGTCTTTCACCTAATTGAAGTAAACTTATGATTAGTCATCGAAATAATTTTTGCAAAACCAAACACGTAAATTTTTATCATGTTTCTTCCACGCTTCCTAGTAAAACTTGTTACGAAAACTTCAGCTTGGAATTTTGCTAAAAAAGGAAAGTGGTGTCAAATCAGAATAACTAGCCGGTTACTCCCTTGGAAAAATATTACGAAATACGATATCTCTTCAAGTTCAAGATTCAAATAGGAAATAACTTTGTTTAGGTGTATTTGTATCTGAAATATTTTATTGTTTTTATGTAGAAAGTTTGAGATAATTTATACGTTCACTGCTAATGTTTCATATTGAGAGCATTGCCAGTATGTTTTTTATTGGTTTTTTACGTGTAGGTAGGGCTTTATGTTATAAGTCAATTCGTTCAATCATAAATATTCATAAAGTAATTTAGTATATTCAAAAGAAAATTAGTCAAAAAGGGGAATTTATTTCAAATCAGTTTGAATTCATACAAACATCTTCAACATCTAACTTTTCGGTACCCTTCCACATAATAGAAAAAATTGAAGATGCTGCTATATTTTTCTGAAATTCAAATATAAATAATAATATAACTTGTATGCCAAATAATTATTCTTTATCTGTTACGCAGTACGGCTACCACATTTTCTGAGATAAGAATTTGACGAATGAGGGGAAGACATGAGAAAAATCATCGTTACGGAAGAGCGGATCTGAATTAAATAACTCATTAACATTATTTATTTGCTCTGTCAAATCTTTCACACTATGGAACAGAAACAATGGACATTAAAAATGGAAACACAAATAGTCAAACTAATCCGAGGTGTTATATAGTAGAATTTCAAACTAATAATTCATGAACATGGTTCTTGAGATGTTTTGGGTTTAAATTATTCCAAGGATTTGATTACTACGTCAATTCATTATGAAACATAAAAAAATTAATTTTTCAAATGAGATCCGAATTATTAATTCCTCACTCACTGTAGATATTTTTTGCTTTTCAGCAGCAGATTGCTACTTAAATCACCTATAGACTGGGTTCCAAGGTTTTTACAGTGAATCAAAGCTTTTTTAAGTAAATGTTACAGTCTTCAAGAATTTTTGAATGCGGTTATCATTATCGTATTTGTGCTAAGAGCGAAGCAAAACCTTCCTATATAGATAGACAAACAGACATAAATTCATTTCCACATTTCACCTCAAGTTTGTAGGAAAGTATACGGTGGTAAAATAATGAAAAAGATATTGATATTAGTACTTACTAACAACTATATTACTTCTAACACTATGTCGGACTATTATTTGACTTGCCGATAAACATTGAAACAGAAACCAATATACAGTGTGTCAATTTTAAAACTTACAATGGGCTATATCTCACGAACGAAAGCTGATATCGAAAAATGCTTGAACATGTTTCTAGGATAGTAAAGGAGAACTAAAGTGACATGAAAAAGAACTCACCCCCATCAACCCCCTAGGCTCTACCCACCAAAATACAAAAAGTTCAAATTGCAAACCCCTACATGTGATACATCATTGAAAAGACTATAAAAAATGCTAACCAATGGTATAAATAGTAATTGTACAGGATGAAGCAATAATTGTGAAATGAAATGAAATATTTAATGAGGTTTTTGTTGGATTGCAAATTTATTAAAAATGTTAATTAAGTAAATGTTCAAAATGGATTCCGTTGTTTTGTAAACAATAATACAGCCTATTTTCAAATTCTGCACGAACTTTAGCAAATGTTGTTCTAGTAATGGCGCGACATGCTTGCGTAACTCTTTCTCGCAATTCCCCAAGTGACGCAGATTGAGTTTTATCAACAACTGACGTGAGGTGACCCCACAGAAAAAAGTCAGGTGGCGCCAAGTCTGGTGACCTCGGTGGCCACTCAATGGGACCTCTCCTTCCAATCCATTTGTTCGGATAATTAGTATCCAACCAGTGCCCAACTGGAGCTGCATAGTGAGGAGGTGCTTCATCTTGTTGGAAGTGCAGCAAATCTTCGTCTACAACTAGGTTGCCTTAGTCCCTTTGGTTCTCTAATTCATGCACAATTAAAGGTTCGATGGTGTTTTCCAGCATATCGAGATAAATATCGCCACTTAAATTGCCTGGTATGAACAAGGGACCAATTATAGCATCGCCTAATATTCCTGCCCAAACATTCAGTTTTTCAGGGTATCGAGTGTGACTTTCTCTGAATCGATGCGGGTTCGCATCACTCCAGTACCGACAGTTTTGTTTATTTACATTATCATTCAGCATAAAAGTACATTCATCACTGTAACGAATATTTTTCAACATTCTCGGTTCAACGCGAATTCTTTCAGTCATGAGTTCACGAAACTCAATTCGTCGGTCTGGATCATCATCGCCTAGTTCTTGAAGAATGTGTTTTGTACGGATGATGTAATTTCAACACCTTTTAACCGACTCATGTGAAAGTCCTGTCACTGCAGATACTTGACGTGTTGATGCAGTAGGCTCCATTGCAAAATTTCCAGGGACCTCAATTTGGGTTGCTTCATTCAGCAATCTTGGGGCATTTTTTTTATTTTGCACTGACCCTGTTTCTCTAAACTTTTCAAATAAATCGCGGACGTACACGTGACTTACATTTTTGTCCAGATGCCTTTCATGAAATATTGGAGCTGTTTTTAATAACACTGGTTCTGGGAGGCAAATATGAAAATTATCTCCACGCGCTCAGGTATACTGTGAACCATCGTGACAACTACAGCTGAATGACAGTACAGATCGTACTATGATGAAAACTAATGACATTCAAAAGTCTCAAACAAACTAAAAATTATTGACTCTGACAGAACCAAAAAACAGATCTTTCCAACTTGTTTTGCAGAAACGGCAAATTAAGTTTTTATTTAACAAAAATAGTATCGACGGGCACTTATCTTTTAAAATAATAGTCCGGGAGGTAGCATTACAAATAAAAAAGTCTTAGTAAGCCTGCTGATATTAAAGTTCGTGCAGACTTTGACAATAGGCTGTATTATTGTTTACAAACCAACGGAACCCTCCTTGAACATTTACTTAATTGACATTTTTAATAAATTTGTTGTTCAACAAAAACCTCATTAAATATTACATTTAAGCCAAAGTTTCACAATTATTGCTTCACCCTGTGCAATTACTATTTATACCATTGGATAGCATTTTTTATAATATTTTCAAAGATGTATCACAAGTAGGGGTTTGCAATTTAAACTTTTTGTGTTTTGGTGGGCGGGGCCTAGGGTGTTGACGGAGGTGAGTTCTCTTTCATGACACTTTATTCCCCCTCACTATCCTAGAAACAGTTTCAAGCATTTTTCGATATCAGCTTTCGTTCGTGAGATATAGCTCATCGTTAGTTTTAAAATTGACACACTGTATATCACTATTATTATCATCAGTATTTCATATTTTTACCTCGATTTATTCAAAATGTTCTTTCATTTCAAACAACATCTTCATAGACTGGCAATTATATTCCAATGTATTTAGAACAATGCTATTGCCATGAGGTACTAGAAGTGGGGTGAAAGTAATCAGGTTCAACTCAATGCCACTAAAACCCACAGGCATCGGTGTTGTCGAGGTGTAGTAGAAGTCCCCCGGATTGAGCGAGACAGATAGACGGTGACGTCATCACACCAGCCAGGTTGCCAAGCATCCAACCAAATTGTGGTGTCCCAGCGGCGAATCATTGTCACGTAGCATCCTCAAACTGTCACATCAGAGCGCAGGCTTCTGCATCTCAGAACATCGTGGCGGGAGATTTGAATTTTCTGTGGAATAATTCAGAATAAGCGGCAGACATAGTAGATAATACGTTATAAAAAAAATTATTTGTTGAGGAGTTGAACGCGGGACGTTTGGTATGGTAGCTTTTGAGTATAATCTTGTCACTAGCGAGGTATATTGAAACTGAATGCGAATAGTCGGTAGATATGGGTTGTGGTTGATAAGCGCGTTCTGATAAGTTGAAGAGTGTAATAACTTTTATAAAAATAATGACACAATCACGAAGATAAATGTCTCTGAACCGGATATAATAATGTCAGGTCAGACAATTCCGCTTTCTGCTTCGATAAGTTTGTTGGGGGTTGAAATGGACACCAATATATCTTGGCACAATCATGTCGCTGGAATTGCAAAGGCTGCTTATCAATAGCTTGGAACACTGTTCCGAACCAAAAAACTATACATATCTCAACAACTTTTGATACTTTATAAAGCTCAGATCAGACCTTCTTTGGAGTATTGCTCTCATGTATGGAGCTCTACCCCAAAGCATACCCTGAAGCTGCTGGATTCCATCCATGAAAGAGCCATCCGCCTGATTGGAGACGAGAACATCACGTGCATCCCTGATAGCCTGGAACATCGAAGAATTGAAGATTTGTCTCTCTTCTATATATTCTTTCACGGCAGGTGTTCAAGTGAACTGTGCCTGCTCATCGTTTTGAGGTTCAACTCAGTACACCTCGAACTCCACTGTTGCAGAAGCTCTTTCATCTGGAGAACTGCGTTTATATGAAATAAACTTCCTGAGAACGTTTTTCCAAATGGATTCAATCTCTAGCGATTCAAATCCAATGTGAATCGCTACTTTTGCACAGGCACCGCTCCGAGAGGGCCTTAAGGATTTTCCTGTAGTGCTTGTGTTTTGTCGTTCTTTGCCTAGCTCTGTAGGAGCTTACTTCAGTAGAAATGTATGCGGTATCCACAACTATAATAATTTGCAGTTTCTGATGAAAAACTGGTTCATCTGCTAGTAGGAATGGATATCATCGTGATCACTTGAAATTTGTTGCAAATTTTAACTGCCAAAGCACTGGCGGTCCGAATTATTTTTGCTTTTGAAGTTACTGTAACAATGGCCCAGTTTATATTCCGTGAGGAACACCTCCTGAAAATTACTGTTCTGAGGAGAATGAATTTGCAATATAATTCTGTCTCTTCTTCTCTGAGTGAACTATGAACTACCAACTTTCCAAGCTCATCTCGTGGTCCATCCTATAGGTCTTACCGTCATGGAAGAAAAGTAAAGTAAGCTGTGCTAAGTAACCAACCGAAACTGTAAAAGAAAAAACGTGATTAATTCCAATGAACTGTGAATTGAGAAACAACTGTTTTTATGAGAATTTTGCCCATTCGTAAGGCATAATGAGCCCCAAAATATTGTCATAATCAATATACCTGCAATTTCCAGGTTTTTTTTATATCAACCCATGGGCAGTTTTTGCTCAAATGAGCACCATATTCAACGGAAATAACTTCCTTCGTGGTGATTTGTTGAATAATTTCAATACTTCAATTTGAAACGCAGTCATTAGGGTAAACAGTAAGATGATTATAATTAGCCTATTGAATAACAGTTAAAATTATATGTTGCAATTTGCGGGAACGTAACCGACATATAAGAAGCCAGAAGACATTTGTAGTGGTTGATAATTTATTATGTTTACCCACGCATCTGTGGTATTATTATGATAATGAACTAGAAGTGAACCTGCCATGTCTCATAGGCGTTCGTGAGGGATATTAAACAAAATATGTTTTATACCAGAAAACAGAAATATACTTTAAAATAATGATATACTGAAGAATTTCCAAATAGGTACAGATGTGACTTTCCAGATTTTCTAACAACCAAATTTCATGTATTCATGTATTTCATGTATTTGCTCATATTCAAACTATTTATGAAAAATCGATTTACCTATAATTATAAAATACTTAGTAGTTAACCACGGTTTCATCCAAATCAACTGAACAGTATTTTCATAGTATTTTTTCCCAACAAATATTTCACCTGATTCTCTGATCTGACAAACCTATTTCAATAAATGAAACACCAAAAACTAAGTGCATCTTACTACAAGACAAGAGTGTAGGTTCATTTTTTAAATGATTAGCACGCACAGACAAACAAACGTGAATTTTAAAAAACATTATTTTGTGTTCTATTGCTTTAATAAATATCCCCGATAACAGTTTTTCTTAAATTTCTTCACAGATAGAAATCATTTGAACGTTTATTATATGTAATGATTTGAATTCAACCACCACATACTTTACTAAATAATACTTTTTTCTACAACAAAACTTGATATGCTTTCTACCGTCAAACATTAAACCAAATAGCTAATCTAGGTGAAAGTAATCATCTTCTGTTCACGCCAGAAAGGTGAATGAAAGAAATGAAGAAAGAAAGAATTTCACATATTTCTCTCAATTATGTTTTTTCATATTCCATTCTGAATGAGTAAATATCTGTAAATATTTTCAGTGATATCAAATTTGCAAAGTATTTTGAAAAATTAAGGAAAGCGCACAGTTTGGGTTTTTCCAGACTTTCCAGGAACATAATGTTCATATATTTGCTCAGCTTTGTTTCATAAGAATATTGCTTTACAAGACATAGTGATAGGTAACCAAAGTTTTAACACATATTTTACGTGATTCGTTGAATTAGCACAAATTTTTCATTCATGAAGTGATTTGAATAAATTTAACACTAAATGTTGAGAGAATCTCAGCAAATTAATAGTGAAAACCGTACCAAATTGGATTGGGCCGTTTTTGAGAATAACGCAACAAACAGATAAAAAGACAAACAAATTGGAATCAGTAAAATTTTCATTATTGTACCGATTTACGATCTTTCTCTTAGTAATTTTGATACACATTTATCCAGGCCATAACAGGTATGTTTGAATTTTTAATGTTTTTAATCGTTCTATTTCTTCTGATGAAATTTTACTCAACTGAAGACCCCCATTTTGTTGAAAATGTCATCACTTATATTGAAGAAATACTGATTGGATTCCATTAAATGTTGTTTGAATGAAGAGGGTTCGACTTGAGCAAATTCCAGAACGGTCGAAGCAAAAAAATTCTTTATCTTCAACTCAACTGAAAAAATAACTTGAAGAATAAGTTTGGCTCGAATTGAGACTGATATTGAGGTTCGTTCTGGATAATTTTTTCTCCTCCCAATCCTTATAACTGAAATTCAGTTATAAGGATTGGAACGAGAGTTGATCTTACTTGATTCACAGTAGGTATTTTTGCCGCTATTTATCAGAAATAAATAGTATTCAACGAAAGTCATTTTTCGTGGAGAAAAATCAGTTTCTTATCGACCTTTTTTGGGTGTTTGTTACCTTCCACAATCTTTACGTTTCGAAGGCCAAAATCGGCCTCCGTCTTCAGAAATGGTCAAAAAAATTCTAAGATATTTGCAGTTATTGCTTTTGATTGTTTATTTCTTAACGTCTTCGACATCTGTTGACATATGTCGAAGAAATTAAGAAATAAATAATCAAAACGAATAACTGCAAATATCTTAGAACTTTTATTGTCCATTTCTGAAGACAGAGGCAGATTTTGGCCTTGTGGAAGGTAAGAAATACCCAAAAAGAGGTCGATGAAAAATAAATAGTATATTTTCCACTAAACAATTATGATGTTAGATGCCATAATATTATTCACGTTAAACCTGTGCACTACTTAATATTTCAACAAATGTATTTTTCAATATTACTGGTTGTGAGCCAAACCACGTTTTCAATTGTTATTGAGTAAGATATTTAATGTTGTGTGACTGTTATTACTTTCAAAAGAAATGACATTATCAGTTTCAGAATTGCATTAATGAAATAATTAGTTATTGATTTAAATATATTAATATGGAAATGAGAAGCCTATCCTACATAAATTCATGCCCCTTCAAAATAAAATTTAGAAATAACTATTCTCTACTTTTGCCAACAGATATCAAAATGATTTCCAGAGTTATGAATTTGGTAATATCTAGAAACTCAAAGTATCATCTAATATATAAGTCCTGCCTAGTAATGAGTAGTATAATTATTATCCATTATCAGTTCAGTGAAAAGTAATGATGAAAACTCAACTGGTCACGGAAGTGTATACCTACTTGTAATACTTTACTCAATTGAAATCTTTCTTATTTCCTGAGTTTATATTTTGAAGTAAGTCCTCATAAACTCAAGAGTTTTTCTGACTATTAATAAAAGTAATTTCATTACTTCATAGTTGTGAGTTATTTTCAATGGCAAGTGGGTTTTGGAAATTTACCTACTTCAAAAAATCGAACTAAATCATTGAACTGTTTCATTGAGGGGAAAAAATTAGGGATAGTTGGTCGTGGTCGAATGGAGTAATTAACGTTTCGTCTGCTACTGAGGCATACATCATCAGTGGTGTATGCGTTTACTGCGAGGACGAAGTCTTAGTAAATCGTTATTTTCCTATCGAAAAAATATTTTTCATTTCCCCTTCTATATTTTCAACGTTTTGAAAACTAAACTTTGATTTTTCACTTCCTCTCACTTACAATTTTCGTGTTTCCTCGAGGTGAATGTTTTTTCAGGTTCTCCGTCCATGGTGCATCACTGTATCTCGAATCAGCACCTCGTATGGTGTCCATACAAATGTCGCAGGGGTGTTGACAGCCGACGACATATGACAGCACACCTTCCATTCATGGCTGATTGTTCAAATAGCTCGACTCGGGCTGTTTTTTCCGTGTATATTCTCTCTCGCTCAATTGCCGACCAAGAAGTCATATTTATTTATCTAAAACTATAAATTTTCGCATAAGATAAAAACAGTGTATAGTGTATTTCATTTGCTTGGCTACAACTATAATTGAAATAAAACTTGTTCCCCACGAGTATAACAAGGTATACGCCAAGACGTAATAAATAACTGTCATCGAATGTTTTTGATGGTTGGTTTATCATTCGAAAAAAGTTTGAAAATCTATACAAGTACAGGAATTCATATTATTGAATTCACTCCAGAAGAATGACAAGTACCTTGTTATTCATCAGCCTTTATAAAAAAAATTTATGGTTTTTTAAAGGTTTTTGTAGCAGAAAATAGACTAGTTTTGTATTCCTATTAACGCAGCAACTTTTAGGCTTCCAGAATGGATAACATTATAGGAATTGAAGTTCTCGAAATCATTTGGAATGTCTTCTTTCAAATTTTCCTTCAATTCATTTTAGAAATGTTGAAGAATTTGGTGATAATGAGAAATACCATGAGAGTTTATTTATAATTACTCTCGTATTTTAAGACACTTTCAACTATCCATTCAATTTGGTGATAATAAGAAATACCATGAGAGTTTATTTATAATTACTCTCGTATTTTAAGATACTTTCAACCATACAGAAAAATTTTGATATATATAAAAACCTCTAATCGATATAAAGAAAAACGTTTTATTATGTGTTTCTGACGTATTTTTTTACTTTCAGTATCGAAGATATCATCTGTTATTATTTAATATTCGACCCACATTTTATTAGCAGTAATACTACTGACCACCATTCCTTAGTAATGAAAGAATGTGAATTTGTAGGATGTTCACTATTTCTGACATTCCGCCTCTTTTAGGTACCACCCTTAGATGGAACAGCCTTTATGATGATGGCCTCTTTGACCTGGACCCGCCTTGCAATTATTACCAAAAACTTGATGGGTGTGAGTTACATTAAGATTAATGGTTGCATTTAAAGAGCGCTGATTTCTTTAAATTAAGAAGCTCTAGGTTTTTGATGAAGATGTCTTTTACATACTAGGAATGTCGTCAAATGACCTGTTCTTCGAAACAATAGGGATTTTAGATGTGTTATACAAACTAGAAGTATTCATCTGTTATTCAACATTAAATTATAAGTCATAATCCTTATGGTGGGTATGATTTGAATCATATCCAATCTTTGTCAGTTCATCAGTATTCAGTTAAATGTTATGAAATTATTATAATAAGGATTATATTACTATGAAATGATGTACCTACTTCAACAAATCACACTTTTCATCATCAGATCATATCATAACAAGTTAAACTGAAGATAAGTGAGAGATTATATGATAATAATAGAAACGATAAAATAGAAGATACATTTTTTTCTCATCCATCTGCTCATTACATTAATTACAGGCTATTGTTATAAATAATTATATAAATTACATAATCCACTTCCTCATAGTACTTATCACGGCCAAAGAAAATATGGATGTTTATGCTTTTAACACGATATAACATTTACATATTCTGTATCAGTGTTGCTAATTTCACCCTGTATATGGCTATGTTACCGATTCATAGTCTTTTTTTATTGACGGCATCAATGTTTTGATGCGTTTTGATGCGTTCCCAGTTTTATCTGTTTGGCAGATTCTATTGCGAAGCATCACGCACAAATATTATGCTACGATCAGCATTGAATTTTATGTGCAGTAGCTTCAATGAAATCTGTGAACATTACAATATTCATTTCTACTCTCTGAACGCCTTGGTATCACTTATCCACAATCACTTTTAATAATACTGTAAATAACATTTGTGTCAGTACTGCTACATTGCATGAATTGTAACTGTTTGTGTTATATACTCAATTTTTCATTTCTCTTTGAAATGCTACGTATACGAATATTTTATATATACTTTGTTTTAGCATTTACTTTTATACATTTCTATATTCCATTATTTTTAATATATATATTTCATATATACTTTGTAATAATAGCATTCCCTGTAACTGGGTACTCCTATTGGAAATAAATCGTTTTTTTTTTAAAGTTTGTTGGTGAGAGGCATGAAGTGTTTGGCGTGCCCAAAAACACTTGAAATGTTGACAGTGTCATACGATCCAACAATTTTTCTGAAAAAGGAAGTGGTTGGGTAACAGGATACATTTTTTCTTAAAAAAAACAATTGTATTCTTGCCGACGTTTCGAATTTAATTGAATTTTTCTACAGGGCTCTGTAACAATGAATTTTCATAAATATACCTGCCACAAAACTCATACAGTTATTATCGTTTCAATTTCGCAAGAAATAATGAGGCCTTAATTAAATTACTCACCGAAAAGTAGTTTTTTGTGTTGATTATAATACTATTTTTGACACGATTATAATATATATTAGACACGTATTTAAAAAATAAAAATAAAAAACATTGCAACAACAAATTTTCTAGACAACACCAACACAAAACGACATGAAACAAACGAATGGCTTTATCTGTGATTCTGATAAGGTGGTGTCTGTTTTTTAATCAATGGCAGAAAGAAAAAGAATGAAAAAAGTGTAAATTATTCAGGTATTTTACGTATCAAATTGAAGTATGCAGCATCAAGGCCATCGACATATCTTCTAGTGTTAATACTATCGCATTTGCGTATATGTATCATTTTGCCCAAAAATCTGTTTGATATCTACATATGGTTGAACATCTAGAATAGTTGAATGATCAAAATAAAAAATGTGTGCGTCCCTATTCTTTTTCATGTAAAACGAGAGCTGTGGCGTTTTTTATATTCAGTTTCTTAGAGTCTCTCATGTGTTCTAAAACTCGTATTTGAAGATACCGTCCGGTTTGACCAACATATCATTTGTGACAGCTTCCACAGTTCAATTTGTACACAATATTAGATTGTATTTCTTGTGGTGCTTTAATTTTCTGTTTCGAGAAAAAATGCTTTCATTTGAAAAGGCCACTTTCATTTCTTCGGTACCGAGTAGCATTCCGAGTTTAACAGATACTTTTTCTACAAATGGAATTTTGTGATATTTGGGTTTCACCTCTGTATTTTGGGAGGAGAACCTTCTTTCTTTAATCATTTTTCTAATAAGGGCTCTAGGAAAATTATTTTTTACCAGGTAATTCTTAATTAATTGTAGATTTTTTTATGGAATTCAGAATTGAAAATGGCAATTGCTCTTGATTTCAAATTCCTTATGATGTTGATTTTACTTTGAGAGCCATGTTTCGAAAAATAATTTAAAAATTTTTTCAGAAAAAGCTGGTTTATGATACCAATCTTCCTTTAAAATTTGGTTTGCATCTTTGATTATTTTAGTATCTAAAAATGCTAACGAATTGTTTTCTTCCATTTCTAGAATAAATTTTAGTTTTGGATGAAAACTATGAAAAGGGTCTAATATTTCAGTTTGTTTATTTTTTGGAAAGGAAGTACCAAAATCGTCAACATATCTTTTGATAAAAGACAATAAAATGCATATATTTTGTAGTTCTGCCATGACCAAATCTGCACAAAGGGGTGACATACAATTACCCATTCCCAACAATCGCTTAACTCAAATATAATTCAGTCTTCTAGTCATATCATTCTTCTCGTTATTTGTCATAATGAAAAAAAAACTACAAAATAAAAAGGCTCCTGATGAAGTTAACTTGGATGGTGAAACGGGCGTCGAGAGTCAACGTTTTTGTTCTTCTGAGGAAAAAGTGTACCTAATCATTTATTTTATATAGCTAAATCATTTGAAAATTTTGATAACAATGGCTATGGTTTCGAAAAACCTAACCATAATTTTTTTACGAGTATATTATCGTTTCAACTTCCACAGGAAATTGATAAATGAAATGTACCCCAGAATTCAAAATCCTCTCACTGCAACGGTTCATTGTCTTATCGACCACATGTGCTTATTAACTTGCTCTAATTTTTGTATGCCCTTATAATTTTCTAATTCTAAATACGAGGCCAATTTCAGATTTTACTTCATGATTCGTGAACCCGCCTCTTCGGCCGAGCTAATAATACGTTCTGAGCTTGATTTATGGCGAAACTGTTCCACGTTTTTTTATCGAAAACAAATCTTCGATTCCGGCAGGTTTCAGAGGTTACAAAAAGAAATAAACATTTTTCATTAGAGACCAGTTCGTGGGGAAATCGCGGGGTTTTTTAGTTCATAGACTGCATTCTCTGGAAGTTTATTTATCATTAAAAACTATGACAATCGCTAAATCTGGTTAGACGGTTTTTTAATCGCTCCTGGCTTTCAAAAGTTGAATGTTTGTACAAGGCTGTATCTGCAGAGTTTGTTTCAAATGATATTTTTGCAATTTGTTTTCGGTAAGATACCGAGTACATTACCAAAATTGATTACTAACAAACATCGTAGATGAATGTTTGTTCATTAAAGAGTGAGAAAGGTAAAAAAGCATGAATTCGGGGCATAGCAACCATTGTAATGCTTCCAAGATGAACAATATACTTTTTTGTTACTTTTATAAGTTATAAATTCAATCAATTCATTGAAAAATGTAAAAAATACTTCGACTACTGTACCAAATACCCTAAACCTGTTCTCTTGTTTTTCCGAAACCTTCTTATTACGAAATATGATTTAGCAACTAGTTCTTTTTCTCCTCCCATCATCGTTCTTGTTCCCACATTCTTATTTTTCGTTTTATGTTTTTCTGATAGTTTTCTCACGATATCTTTTGTTCTCTTCACCTTCTTTTTTCTGTTTCCCTTCTTCTTTTCACTTTAATTCATTCTTCTCTTTAGCGTTTTTGCTATTCCATGTCTCTCTATTCGTAACATTTCTAATAACAATTCAGCGATAGATTTATAGATACCTAGCCCTTTATTTTCAACAGGTGTACACCCAATTACAGGAAATTTCAAAGAAAATATGCTGAAAAAATAACATAATTAGATTCATTTGACATATTGTAAATGAATTAGTCTTCACAATGAAACGATTGAAAATTATAAGAAAAATCTGTAAATGAAAGGTTCTATATAATATATAATCCTTGATAAACAACTTTCATTAATATCACACATGTTAAATACTAAATTAAAATTATAACATATTATATTTATTCATAAAATTATGTAAAAATGCGACTGTAATGAAGATTTGACGTGTATTCAATGATATAGTATCAAATTGGTTCAAAAGGATAGAATAGTCAAATCCCTTGGGGGTAATGCAAAAAAGAATTTCAAGAACTTTCTTTGGACAGCTTCAATTTGCTATATGTGAGAATTATCGCCCCATATTCAAGTTCGAATCTCAAATAATAATATAGAATAGTTTGATTATTACTTTTATATCACTGAATTCTCCAGCATCCTCATTATGTAGCCCAGAATTCGACTGGAGGATGAAACAGCTTGGTCTGTATGTGAAACAAAAGTGAATTTTTGATCAGAATAAATGCCAAGGTCATTCAATTCATTAACTTGACAGATGGTATCGTTATCAATTTTATAAGTTAATTGTTACATGAATAGAATTTTACAAGTGTTGTTCATGACGAAGAATTTCAAGAACGAAGTTTTAATGATGAACGAGAACGAGAATGTTTCCTGCTTATTCATCAAACTCAAACAACTGTTCATGCAGCTGCAGTTTCGTAAGAAGGTATCATCTTTCCCTCCAACCGATTTCCTGGAGTCTTTGAAGTCCACTAGATACTCGTTAGGACAACAAGAGGATTGTTCCGAATTCTTGGGGTTCTTGTTGAATACTCTTCGTGAGCAAAACAATAGCAAAATCAATACTCCCAGCCGCTCTGGACTGAATGATTCCGTATAACCCATCTCGTCTTGTGTTTGTAAATCTTTTGCTGGAAAAATCCTCACTTGTTTACTTTGTGGTAAATGTTCAAGAAGTACTGAAAACTTATGTGAATTTCTGGAACTTCATCTAACTTTTCCTAATACGACTAATTACCAGTCCGTGCAAAGCTTATTGTTAAATCATCTGAAAAAGGAATTTTCAACAGGTGATGATCAACTGTATTGTCAAACATGCGCCAAACTAACTGACTGTTATAAGGAAACAAGTATAGCTGAGGCACCAGTCAATCTAATAATAACACTGATGATTTTCAAACAAGACTCAACCTCTAACGGAAGCAAGAAACTCTTTGGAAGGTTCGAAATGGATGAACATTTCAACCTAGCAGACCACTGTTATAATATTCATGCAGTCATTGTTCACTGTGGTTCTGGCGTTGAATGTGGTCATTATTACGCCTTGGTCAAAGAAAAAACTGGTTTAAGTTTGACGATAGTCGTGTCACGAAGTGTTCTGGCGATGCATTGAATTTATTGGAGCCTCTGGAGACACCCTACATTTTGTTTTATGAGAGAGAGGACATTGTTAGATCAAGATCTTCAGATGATGTGCTGCAGGTTTTTCCGGGTTTTCCTGCAGCTGAAAAAGCAAATGCGCCACTGGAATCAATGAAGTCGCCCCAGAGGGCCAATTAATTTTTATTGTTGTATTTATTTTATTTTTATCGTTGTTTTAACACATTGTAATAATTTTATATATAATTATTTACATTGTATTAGACTTTGTGGAAAAAGACAATACATGACATTTAGCAATGATGAGATTCGAACGATTATTATTGGAATCCCAATCTCCATAATTTTCTATCATATTGAATATTTTAAAGTCATTGAGCAGTTTTCAATTGAATTTTTATTAAACCATTAATGAAAATAAAGAACAAAAGAGGTCCTAAATTCGAACCTTGGGGCACTTGGTAACTGGAAGTATATAAAGCAAATTTGAATCCTTCATACTCTACATATTGTTTTCTATCAAGTAGGTAATTTGATATGAGTTTTACCAAACTTGCAGAAAAGCCAAATTCTGATAGACGTTTGAGAGACTCGTGGCAGAAGTGATAACTTGAACTGATCTAACTTGAACTATTTATTATTGACATCGTTTAAAAAGAGACAAGCTTAGGTTATTGCTTAAATTTTATGTATACGGCACACAAAATTATTATCATCATTTTTTTAAGCCATTTTTCACATAATAAAAGAATATTGACTTATTGATAAATCCTATTATATTATATTATTAAACTAACCGTCCGTTAGGAGATCATGTAATGTTCCGAGGATCAAATACTTTATAATCACTTCCAAGAGCTATGAAAGTTTTATGTTATATGCTAACTGTCAACAGTGTATGTCGACCGCACACTGAACACTGAGTCATGCGAAGAGAGGCGAGAGAATAGTTTGTCCAAAATACTGCTAGCGCAGAAGCCAGACATACTTGGCGCTACCAAGCGATTTACCCTCCCATAGGAAGTTATCACTTCAAAAATATGAAATAAACAGCAGGATTGCCAATATCAAACTGTAATATTGGAAACATAATCACTTAGATGAAGAAAACATCACATC